TCCAAACAGATGTACAATTCTTGGATTGTTAGGTTTTTTAACTTTCTGCTTTGGAACGTTAAAAAGAACTTACGTCAATTCGGAACTTTACAATTTTGAAACGTTTGCATCTTGGTACTTTTGTCGTTTCTTAGCCTCATAATTTTTGAACTATGAAACCGTAAAGATATAGATAGTTCGCATTTTGAGTCTTCCTAACGATCTAATAGAAATTCACTGTACACCGTTCTCTCGTGCACCTGTTACTCGTCTCGGTTTCAGAAAAAGCGTTCGCAACCGAACAATAACGAATCGATCTGAACCGCTGAAAGACACGAGAGAAGCTAGACCTAGTTCAGATTGTCTTGGAGGTAATCAGGAGTAATTAACTGAAACGAGGCTAGGATATTAAGCTTAGGTGGATATCGCGGAGCTCGCATGATGCAACGGCATATAATGCTTTCAGCGGATACGTGGATCTGGAACAGGAATGTTTCCGTACGATTCTCGGCCAATTTATCCGGAATTTTTCCCAGGCAAGAACACGTCGATGGATTCAATGGCTTGTTGACAGGAGACAAACGTTTCCTGTGTCGCAACAATTTTTGCTTCTTTAACGCCAGAACAAGCGCTTACGTACTTTGACAAAAACACATGAAATCTTCCATTAAAAACTGCGACTTCTTTCTAGCTACGTTGTTAACAACCTTGAAACGCCAGCTGATGTATGGTAGAAACGAAAATAAATTCAGGAAGTAACAAGTTTATGTATTAAGACTATGATCTTGTTTAAGTTTGCGCTCTTTCAAGGATTCGAGATCTACGTCTCGAAGCGAACGAATTTCGAGAACTCGAGGATCTGAGATTTGAAAGTTCCAAGGTTCTAAACTCGGGTCGTTCGGAAAATCGCGAAACGCAAAGGCCTGAAAGCGGTAAAACGGTGACAACCGTGAGGCACGAAAACAAAGAAAATTCCACTGTTCGTTGACTGTTTCGCTCGGGTTGGAAACACTCTATAAAACGTTCTTTATTTTCGCTGGTAAAACGGATCGCTACAGTGCGACGTTAGAAACCTGGAGCACTGTACAATGCATACAATCGTGAAGGTACCGGCAGACGATTTAGAATCGCGAGTCGTCGACTCGTAATAAATATTCGTTCGTGAATAACCGATTTGTTTGGCCGGCTCACCGGGGAACGACACAGTGGAAGAACATGAATAGTCCCGGTGCAATCGAGTGTTAAATATACGCCTATAGAATATTTTTAGGCGTAGCTTTGCCTCAAATCGTTTATTCTATTCCGAGGAATAACTCGAAGCGTAGTCGTCCGTGAAGACCACTCGCTTATTTAGATCCTCTAATTCGACTTCCAACAGCTTTCTCCTTTCTTTATTCTTATTTTCCGAAGACCAGCGCTTTCCAGACATTCCCGGTAAACGCTGTTCTAAATGTGGCACTTTGATATCCTAAAATGGTCATTTGCACGATCGAGATCCTTAGAAACCTAAGAACGCAAGGACTCAGGCAAACCAGCAGCCCAGTTATGAAATATAAAACGCTATATAATTAGAATTATACTAATAGCTCCAATTATAGTGTAAACGATGATAAAATCGTACGATGCTTGATACACGAGTTTGAAATTATACCGGGGAAAAATGCGAAAGTTGCAGAACAACGATGAAATTGTTTGCAGTGGATAATTGTATCCAACTATCCGAGGAAATTATACTTTGCAAAACAAAACTATTTTCGTGAACAGATGTTGACGGGGAAATTTCAGCGATATTACGAGCGAAATTGAGTTGCAGCTTTTCCTGCATCACCGGTGATCAGTTAACGGATATTGAATTTTAGCGGCATTACGATGTGGGATGTAATCATTGATTAATTGCTAATCAAGTCGGGATTAAATTAGGAAATCGAATCGATCGAAAATTAGGCTCAGGAAATTCTTGCAATCACCGACATCCTATTGTAATTCTTTTACGAATTCTCGTCGGACTTCGAACAACGAATATATCGAAAAGCGGCGAAACAGGAAGAAACGAGTATCGAGAAAACGAAGCTTTTCGTTATTAAACGACTCGAATACTCGAGCGAGATATTTCTCTCGATATTTAACATTTTTCCAACTGTATAATTAACATCGATAGCACGAGCGATTTAGCAACCCGCGATAAAAATATCCTCGCTTTCTAAAGTTCATAAAATGTTCTATCAACGGAGATACTTTTTTAAACATCATTTTTCCCGCGAACAAATATCGTTACGTTACGTTCTCGAATCACGGTTTCTGATCGAACAACGTCCAATTATTATTACGTTTCGATTCTCATTTTTCCTCTCGGTTTTTATCGTTGCTGTTACAGGTGCAATTAGTCTCTCGCGTGGAAATCAGCGTTTCTTACTCGTCGATCGACACGAAACCCGGCTTCGTGAAAGGAAAAGTTTCCCGTAAAAGAACCGGAGCCCTTGAAATTCTTTCTCTATACCGGCGTTGATCCCTGACGATCGTTTTTCCACAGGAAGATGGATTATCCTGAAGGCGAGTAGGCGTTCGAGTGCTTTGTGAAAGGAGGCGGACGTGTAACGTACCAACGGTTATCCTGTCCTTTCAAAACGAACGTTCTAGATACAAATATTATTCGAGATGGATCGATAGCGATAATAAAATGGCTATCTTTATTGCCTCTCCTTTCATGGCTGTCGCGAAATAATTTATTTTATTTAAAACCGATTATTCGCATTTATCTCCGCGATACATACAACCACTTTATATCGATCGCCGTACTGCCAACAAAAATTTTCTTATTACCTAATTACCATTTTATTCGAAGTTAGAACAAATATAATACGACAATTAATAACAGTAGAAATATTGTAAAAGTTTTTAAATTCGTATAGATGGAATTTTGCTCCGCCTGACGAAATCATCGGACTCGTTTCGAAACCGGGCGTTTGATATGCAACAACCTAATATCCCGAAGCGAAGTTAACAACGAGAATTTTTAATGAGTCAATCTCATTACTGTCTCGACACACCGTGCGCGACAATCTACTATCCTCGATTTTTGAAGACGAGAACCAGGTCAAATTCTCGCTATCTCTGAAAAACAATGAGGTCATGTTTGCCGCGTCATCATTCTGATACTCCGATTAATTTGTTTCGTTCAGCATACGCTTCAAGTTTCCGACAAACTCGCCGACGCGCAAAAGTTGTCGCGTCGAATTTCATAAATGTCTAACTCGAGTATCCCGAGATACAAAGGGAAATCTATGAAATTGCCGGGTGAAAAGATCGCTCGAAGAGGCGAACAATACTGTTCGGTCGATAAATTCGTGACAATGGTAAGCAGACGCTAACTATTCACCGGAAACGGAAGAACTTGACCTTCTCCCTTTTTCCGCGTAGCTGGAAACATAACCGACCGTTGTGAATAAAATCTATCTCACGGAACTTCATCCGCAGGATTCATGAGCTAACGCACCGTGAAACCTGAACCTCAACCTTGCATGTTGAACGGACGCGCATTTTTAAGGACGGGTTACCGGTACCGTATCGAATGTGTACCGACCGGTAACAGCTGGCTGCTGAAAATTAACCTCTCCGAAAGAACGCGACATCCTTTGTTCTTAATATCGACTATCGTATGCTACCTTCCCACATGCGAGTATCGATAGTCGAACCACCGGGCTGTAATCTTCTTTCAACCTACGTCGACGAAATTTCAATTTTAAACCGGGATTAACGTATCCGAGTAACATCGATTTGGGTTAGGATCACGTTTACCTTCGATTCGAACGGTCGTTTTAGATTTGAAATTTAGAAAGGTCTACGCAAAATCGTGTGTCGGATTAGGTTAGTTTCGAATCAAGGTTACTTTAGATCCGGTTAAAGCTACCGTTTTGAACAGGTATAAATAGATTCGAACAATTGAAATTAGGCTAGGTGTAATTACAAAATAATCTATCGATAATCTAATACATCGAAAGTTGTAGGATAAAAAGTAGCGAGCGTGACAGAGACAGTAGATTTTTAAGAACGACAGGACGCAACGGTTAAGCGGTACTTGTCAACTAATTAAGCCGCAATACCGAGTTTGTTAATTGGCAGAGCGATTAAAAGCGGCGTCGAACGGGAAATATCGTTTTGCATAGGGCAAGGTCAGAGTCCTAAGGACCGCGTCGCACGGTCGACGATGCACAGCCGGATTCCTGTTAGCCGGTGCCGCGTCGCAGTGACAGAGACCGTAGCCGTAGCGGATACAAAAATAGTTCTACAGACGCCGAGGTTCAAGACCTCGATATACAGATAACGACGGTAGCGCGATAATCTTATTCGTGTGTGGAATTACGGCACAGCTGTGTTTTTGCATGTAAACAATGGTAGAGAAAGGCGAACGATACTCTTCGCGCATAAAAACGATTCGCAATTTCGCGAGATACCGAGCTGTGTCTCGAGGATACGCAGTTGTGACATGGGAGAATATCTGCTCGTCGTGTTTACCACGACCGTGCCCACGCACACGCTGCGTAATAAAGATATAAATCTAAGGGAGAACCGTGCGCGAGATAACAAAACGTGGTTCACTCGAGAGTTCGAGGGGTTCCGTATGCAGGACAGACAACAAAAGATAACGCACGATAAGAATCTCTTTTCTCAACAGGCGATACCTGTACGGAATCTCGTAACCGGATTACGAAAAGTTTCTTCTGACCTATTTTTGAAGATGCTGCACGACGCTTTTCTGGACAATTCTTTTTTCGCTCGAAATATATGTCGATAGCGCGAATAAGTTGAAACGCTCGTTACTCGGGGAAAAAAATTTTCGTGCTTTTCCGATCTCGAAGAGTGGAGGTACAGAAAATTCTACGGACAAGAAATCGTGGACGCTCGTTTCGAGAATATCGAAAAAGGTCACTTGACTTCGCGAGCAGGCCAAAAGTTTTGCGGCACACGCGATACGAGAGAACGCGATGCTACGAATGCTTAAATAGATGCTGTCGTAAACTTACCGAAAGGACGCTCAAAGCACCTCACGAAACTCCTTTGTATCCGGGGCAGTGAAAAATCCTCGTGGTGACACCGCGATTAACGAGTTTTGCATACATCTAAACACACTCACTAACACTTCGAAACGAGCACTAAACGAATTTTCGCACGCGTCCGCCTTGACCTCACGATCTGACCGGTAGATCGGTAAGTATTTCACGAAAATCACATTGATAGCGTTCGACCGTCAGCTTGCTTCGGAGATCATAGACCAGCTGTGTTTTTGCCCGACCATTGAGGAACTTGTGCATGCGCACTCGCCTGGACGCCATCTTAACTTTCTCGAGAGTAGGAAAATACGCCGCGCGTAATTTGAAACGGAATATCTGACACGACCGATTTCTTTATTCGTATTTATTTGTTGATAACAATTTTTTCATTTTTTAAAATTCCAAACACATTTATGGAGAAAACATGTCCATTTTGTTAGTGTTTACGGTCATACAAGGACGTTTACGACGTTTTTAACACTTTTCATTTGGTGAACGTAATGAATACTCTTAAGTTATTAATAAGCGTCCGATATTAAAATAGCATCAGGTAAATTAATGCTTGAAGAATTACAAATTCGAATATCGACATTGCTATATGTACCAGGACATGTTCGTTTAAAAATAATTAGTTATTTACGTGTCAATTGTGCAAACCTTATTTTTGATTATAAAATTTAATGGAATATTACGTAACTGTGGGAAAAAATTGTAACGAATCGAGTAAACATGCTTTATTACGTTATAGCTAGTTTCGTAATTAATGAAATCACAACTGTTTATACTACTCAGCGTAATTTGTTTGTAATACTTGTTGTTGATTGTTTCTAACTCTGAAATACGTCAAAAGTTTTATAGACGTCTGTTTTATGAAATATTTAAGACGTTTAGTTTCGTAGTTCAATTTCAAAGAGGAAAAAAAAATTGGGCCCCTCCGGGATTTGAACCCGGGACCTCCTGCACCCAAAGCAGGAATCATACCCCTAGACCAAGAGGCCTCTTGGAGGTTCTTTTAATAATAGAATATATAAGGACCAAAGTTATACACTTTTCTAAATTTATATGCGCGTAGTTATACGCATAATGATATGTTTTTGCAACGTTATATAAAAATGATTCGTAGAATCTAAAATATCATATAATCACAAATAGTTTTGTCACTTATAAAATATACGAAATTAAAATATTGAAATTGCATACAAAGTATACTTTTCTTGCAAAATAACTTCTAAAAATAAAACATTATAATCTCTAAAATCTTAGTTGGCAAGTTATACAAGATAACTAAATAATCGGCACAAATATTTTTTTTGTAGTGCACGTTTATTTTGTGACTTATGTATAATAAAAATATAGAGTAAATCATTCGCATAATACTCTGTGCCACACGATTTAAAAATATTTCTACACATATGTGTATGTACATATTCTATTGATAAAATAAATATACAATAAAAATCAGGAGTAGACTCTGTTTAACTAAACATTTATACCTTGAGTTTTCAACACTTCATTTTAAATATAGAATTCAGAGTGGAAAATTTTGTTTCTAGATACATTAACAATATTATGTTCAACGATCTTGAAAATATTTTTATACTGAAAATCTTTATGCAGTTGGACTGTAATACTTAAAAAAATATTTTGTATATACTTTAAAGGCATTGGAAAACATTTCATTTTTACTGAAGATGATATACTACAATTATATAACTCATATAAGCGAATAGTTCATTCAATAAACTAAAAATATCGTGCAAGTTCTATTTTTACGTGTTTTTAATTTTATATCCACGTGCGCTATGAAAATGGTGCCGCTTCCGCTATCTAATTAGAACAGTAGAGAATGATTTATCAACAAATTCTTGTTTTCGAGAAATCAGCAATTTGTACACTTTATTGAGTCTAACACAATGTTTTACAAATTATAATGGTCTCGAATAAGTTGTCTGTGATACGACACTTTGTTTGGAACGTTAAATCACGTAAAACAGTACTAGTTTCGCCATCTAGCGGTCATACATCTGTATCAATGAAACTAAATTCTTTTTATTGCTTTCTTGTCGAAAACTGACATCAGTTTTACATAATTTCATAACGAATAAGGGAATAAACATCACGCGTGATTAACGTACATTACTCGTTCTTTATTGGTGATACGTATAATACACGTGCTAGACATATTACTTTTCAATAACAAAAATAATTACAGTTAGAAATCGCACAGAGTGCGTCATATCAAACTAATGTAAATGACAGTCCATATTGCGCTTTGTACATTTATACGACCGGTTACTGCTAACATCATTGTTCCACTTGCGAACTATTTTCGTAACAAAATTTCATAATTCATTTTTACACACTACAAAATTCTTTTACATCTCGACTATTGGTAAATTTTCAACTTTTTAAAATACCAAAATTGTATATTATCTTTTCTCCTAAGACCATTTTTGTTTAGAAACAAAGTATGAAATTTTAACATCATGTATAAAATTGCGAGCTAATACAGTTGTTATTCATTACATGAATATGCATTACAAATGGTACAAGAATTCATAACTGATATATTCCGGATGATTCTAGATCCACAATAATAATCAGTCGATGTTTTCAAGGTAATTAGTCTTTTTGTAAGCGATAACATCATACAAGGAGTGATACAAATTTTACAATACGGAATTTCTTTCAAAGTTATCCTTACGAAACAACAATTTACAATTTAGTTATTAAATGTAACAATTACATCTTATAATAGGGTTGTATAATTGAATGCTCACGAACAATATCTTCTCTTCCGAGATATGATTTCCACCGAAATGTAGCGTGGTCATTTGCTAAAGTCGTTTGTGCTATATTTCGGCGAGCAGCCCACGCGAGTAATTTAGCTCCCTCTTACAAGTAAGAGGAATACGAAGATACGAGATTATTTTTTTTATCTCAGACATCAACTGTTATCATCCGTGGTAAATACATATTTTCCTGGTTTAATTGACAATCGGTAAATACCACATTTATAGTTATAGGACGTTGCCATAATTAAAATCACATTCAGAACAGACAATAGTGTAATTGTAGACAATTCTGCAAGTCTTTTTTCGATTCACATATAACTGCGACTATTAATTATTATATCATATTACAAACAGCATAATGATATACATCGTTAAGTATATAAATACTTGTCAGTATATCTTATTTTTATCGATATCAAAATCTAACGGGTAACTATATCGGAATAAGAAATATAGCTCAATAAACATCGAAAAGGACTACAAAGTGCACTTGCCAATTGTTTCTCACAGTTGGTACTTATAGCTTTCACACCTAGAACAAGACATATATTTCTTATCGAATGCCGATATTAAAAACAATTTTCTGCTTTTTTTACAATAGTTCTGGCAGTGAACAGCTCTTACAACATACCCTATATAAATGGATCTGTACAATCTTAAGCAATTTTTAAACTAAACAATATCATACTTCAGTTCGCTACGCTCGTTTTCTTGTATTTCAAACATTCCGTAAATATGCAAATTTCATTTGCACTACAGTCACAATAAATTAGCGTACCTGTTACAAACTCTTTATAAAATATCTTACTATTGAAATAGCGTTTTCCCCAGTGATCGTAAACGATTCGTATTAAAGAATAATATAATAATGTTAAATAAATACCCTCTACTTAATTTACATCGTACATCTGCTTAGTTACACCGTAGAGAAATATAAATACAGTTATCAAATACGTTTAAATGTACATACACATGTTAAACTTCCTCACCGATGTATCCATTACATTTTTACCGTGCACGTACACTAAAACGTTTCAAATATCGCGCCATTAAAAAAATATGTATCAAATCGTGTTGGTAACCTTGTTTTAGTTATACCTGAGAAACCTAGATGTCTCACCGTCGACGTTTAGTTTCCCGCCATTTCGTTCTTGCAAACGGTGTTTACCTCTATTTTCAAGCAATCAAGAATAAACAAGTTACCTCGAAGATTCATCGACATTAAAAATCTTTCATCGAAACAAGGTTATTTTACGCGATGTATTATTACACTGAATTGAATGAAACGCAAAATAATCTTTTACGCATCGATTATAGGATTTATTGTCGCCGGCGTAGTTGGTGTTTCGTGCGATGTGTCGTTCATCATTAGCGTCGTCGTTGGTTCTTCCCGTGAATTTTGGTCGGTTTGTTTGCCTCCTGGTGGAATGTACGTCCACCAGGCGAGGAAGAAGAACAGGAGGGATGCTGCCTTACCGATGAAAGCTAACGCCAACATGTACCTGCAATCCGAATTCGACGTGAGTAGTTTATAAAATATTTAAAATATATGTTCACGATTGTTAAATATTAACCTGCTCATGTATAAATTGTCGTAAACGAGGCAAGCTCCTCTGCCCTCGCACGTCTCGTTCCACAAGATACAAGTATCGTCTATAAGGGCACCGAAAACCATGGGAGCTGGTATCGTGCCCAAAATCCTAACTTTAATCCACTGTATACCTAAAGCGAACGACCTCTGATCGTCCCGAACGACCCGTAGGGTCGCAGAAAGTGCTGGCATAGTGCACAAAAACGTGATCAGCATGTTGCAAAATGCTAAGGCTATGAAGGGCCACAGATAGGAACAAGATGTGTTGCATGTTGTGTTTATTGCCTCGTAGCTGATAACGTCATCTCCTGCAGTCAGGTTCATTGGCTGCGCGCGTACGCAGCTGCAGTCCGAGTACACCTGTAAGATAACAACTTTATCGCACTTGAAGTTCGTACACTTGCAGACTTTTAACACACGAGCTTTCATCAACGACGCATTACTAAAATAATATTTGACTTCGAAGAACAAAATAGATATTCGCGTGCATGTTAAATAAGATAACAAACTATACCGACTTTGACATCGTTTATCCGCGTTTCCTGATAACATCCTGCATGACATGGGGAATAATACGTGATTCCATCCACTCCGCATATTGGACTGAACTCTGATCTTGAACAACCGCAGTTGTTATTACACGCGTCATCCAACGAGAACGATTTTCTGGAAACATGGAATTATTCAATTATATAGGCGGTGCTTGATACATGTACATCACGCATGAACTGTGTACTTATGGGTAAATTGAAAATTGCACGCGTTTTCCATAAATAGTATACTTATCAATCTGGACAAACATGTGTGTATATGTAGCAGAGATTTTTAGACTAGGAAACTTTCGAGATATTTTGACCTGAGGATTTTTGGACTTTGTGATATTTGGTACAGTGAATTACATGCAATTAAAGAGGAAAAATGATCATTCTGTAAAGTGGGGCTCGGCTAATAAAATGTTCAAAAGCCTCACGTTATTCTTGAAGAGTAACAGTTCCAATTACATGCGTGTATTATTCTACGTTAATTAATCTAATTCGTACATAGCACGTACAAACGAACAAAAGAAGCGACGTACTTAGTTTGGTCCGAATAGGGTACGGTAACTCCGGCAAAATTTAGATTCGGGCAGTTTAAAACGAAGCACAAAGTGAAAGCGATACAGGAAGCAGTGGCCAGCAGACAGAACTTCAGAATACCCGAACAGGGCAGATTAAAGCGTTTTATGAGATAACCACCGAGAAAGGTACCCCCGCCGCCTGCAGGCACGGTCACCAGACCTGCGAACAAAAAATCAAAGGATTTCATTTGCACGAGTCGCGTACGAGTGCTTTCGAAATTTCCATCAAATCACATTCGAATGTTGGTGGATCGTAAATATCCCCGAGGATCGAGAGCGTGGAAACAAAATAAAACGCCGTCGTTTAAAAGCCATTTAGAACTCGCAGGTAATTAGCAATAAGGCTGTCAAAGCTGCTTTCAAATTATGATTAGGAGAAAAAGAATTCGGTGATTAATCCATGAGAGTCGTTTATATAAGTTGAATATCGCACAAAAAATTGTACAGTTTTTCAGATAAAATCACTCATCAAGTAATGACCATCAAATGGACCATTACCTCGAATGAAAATAAAGTTCTTTCAATAGCTACTCGAACTTCATCGTTTACGCAAAGTTCCAAAGTGAAGTAGCTTGTAAGTACCCGAAGAGTTTTGAACGACAGTGTATAATGTTCCCACGATAAAAATGAAAAACCGTTCGGCTATTTAGCGTAAAATATCGCTCGATCGTAGGTGTGCCGAAAGGGTGGCACCGATTTGATTGATTATAACAGAAAGTTTCAATATTATTCACCCATTAGTAACGCGGCTGAACTAGCGCTGACGTTAAATTGATTTTCGATCAGCTTCGGCAGGAACGCCGCGAAACCAGCGATAAGCAATCCTTCACTTGCACCTGCCAGGTTCAACATGAAAAAGCCTGGATTACCGAGCAGATCGGTCAGTGCTCGTGGCAGCTCGCGTATTTTTGAAAACGCCTCCCCGCTCTCGCTCGAGGGCGATTGCTTCGATTGCTTCTCGTGTGCCTCCGATACTCGTTCTTTGGCTAATTCTTCCGAACCTGAAATGGGAAATGACCGATTCTTACGTGAAAAGGAATTGCAAATTTTTCCATTCTTCGACTTTGGAATCTCGGTACTTTGAAATTGTGTAACTTTTTAATTTTGCAGTCAATAATGAAACTATTGAAAATGTCGTACCTGGTAACGCAGGTGGGAAGGCAAGTATCGGTATCGCAATTATGAAACACAATACTGCGGCACCCAGAAAACCTATCCACCATGCTCCAACCCACACGTTGCTGTCCGGTGTCAATCCAATTCTGAAATTTATTTTTTAAATTATTACGTGATAACTACCATTATCTACTTTCGAGTACAGACAGTATAGATCTAATTTAGACAAAATTAAATCTTTGAGTGAACTAAAATTATTCATCGTAGAGGAGAAAAAAATAACTGCGTACTTAAATTGTATTTGGTAGGAAGTGACAATTTCTTTAATTAAAACCTGGCCATTCCACGGGTATAATTACGTCCCGTGACACCGGTGTAACTAGATGTTATAAAGCAGAGGGTTAAACGTTTTAAAGCGCGGCCGATATTAAGGAAAACTCCGGGAAAAGTAGGACGCGGTGCGCGTAAATAAAAGAACGGTGAAGGATCCCCGTGAAAAATGTAATTATCCTGAAACAGTAGCAACGGCTTCGTTCCGCCACGAGATAGACCGGAATTACTTCTCTGCCGTAGAACTTCCGGCTTAACCGACCGATTTCCTCGCGCTTTTTTAATTGCGCCCGCTTAGAAATTCCCCAACCGAGCAGGCTCGCGCAACTTTTCCGACAAATTGCCAGCTACGAGTATGTACAGTCGAAAGCTATTTCCTTTTTGCACGCGTTCCTGGACCACCCGCTAACCCTCTCTCTCTCTGTGTCTCGATAATTTACCTCCACGGCAAAAAACTACGGCAATTTCCGGACAACCGACAACGCCAACGAGACGTCATGACAATCATCGTCATCCGGACTAAACGAATATTCCCTTAGTTACAACCGTTTTGTTTCGCGGTTGGGCTATGAATTTGGCAAATTTGCGTATGCCTTTCTGCAGAAATGATACAGTATTTATTATGTGGTCGGAGCTGACAAAGTTGTGGGTATATTACAAATTTAGTAATTTTATACTTCCTAACTTCTTGGATCTTGATTTCCATTTTTAAATCCTTTGTTCCGAAATTTCCCTTTACGAATCACCGATCGTGAAATTGGCAAATTCGTGAGAATTCGTCGGCTCCATCCGTCGTCGCAATTACAAAAGATTCCTGTCGAAAATCGCGACGAGATATAGGATAAGCTATCTCGGCAAGGAAAGCGGGAAGCGAGAAAGCGGAAAACTGTGAAAAGTACTTGGAAACGAGCTTCGAGCAAGTTGCTCGAAGCAGCATCTGCCGTCTCCGCGAAAACTCTTTTCATTTGCCTGCGAAATTAAACGCGGCGCATATACGATCCACTCTCAGACGTAAGCTCGCAGTCGGAAGTGGCCGTAACGCAACCAGTTACCTTCTTCTTTTTCTTTTTCTTTCCCTCTTCGTTCCTGCCGAATACACGCTCGCGTGCAAGGAAAATGTAATTGCGCACTCAAAGCGATACTATTAATTTTATTGTCGTAACCGTTCTTTTTTTCCGATGCTTCAGGAATCGACGAGGAAGCGGTTCGTTTCGTTTGCAAATTATTAAATTGCGTCCTCTTTGCGCAATTTCAGTTTACAGAACCGACAGTTTTTTATTTCGAAGCTCTTTGAAGTCGAGAATTAACGGGCTAGTGGGAAATCTTTTCCAGCTTCGAAACACTTGTTGATTGGCCACCAAAAACAATTCTTTTACGTGGACGAAGTTATAACAGTACCTTGGTAGTTTAAAACTTAACAAATTTCTTCGATAAGTACAAACGTCGTATTGTTCCTTAATTATCGAGAAAGATATTAGTTTCTTTGTATCAAAATTGCGTTTACTTTAGCCACTTAATTTTTTTCCTAACAAAACCCGACCAAGGAGAAGTGATTGATTGGTCGGAAATGGCTGAGTAACCGTAGAACCATCCCTTAGTGAACTTAACCGCATTTGCTACACTGACACCGAGATCATCTTACGTTTTCTTCCTTTCTCGCCGTTTTTACGCGATCGTGTCGTAACCGATCTCGAAACGGCTGTACTCGTTCAAAGATAACAACTTTTCAAGTTTTCTACTTATGGTAATTTCACTCTGCTTTTTCAAACTTTCTCTCCTCTTCTTTTTATCTTTTCCAAGGAAAGCTGCTACCGTGAAAAATAATTTGTTGGATCTCGAAGTTTTAAAGGAAAAACGTGTATGTTCGATTTATTGCTCGCGAAAAATGGAAATTTTGCACGGAAACTGATAGTCCTGTAAATCCGATACAAAATTCTACCATTAAAAAATAAAAGTAGCGATAACGTTTGCAAATTGGTTATGCGAGAGAAACTTCGAGTGTGAGGTGAAATTTAACGAAGATTATAATTGGTAACATGATTATGCGAATACGTACGACGCCGGCCAAGAATTTATAATTTCGGCATGAATTATAGACTCTAATAAAGTTTCGGGTAAATTCGTTCTCGCATGGTATACTCCTGAATTATTGCATAATTTAAACTTAATTTAATCCGTTCGACTATGGACCATTACATACCACGATACTCCCATATTAATAAAACAGATTATTTAGAAAAGTTAACTCGTAATCGAGCTACGGCGATCGCGCACACCGCGTGGGAGGACCGAAAGAAACAAACTCCGCAGGAATGCATTTCAGTTTATCTATAATACATCGGTGGATGGCATAAAATACAGGAGAGAAGCGATAAAAGGAAAAAAAGGAAGCATAAGGGTACCGAAATCGATAGCCGCGCCATTTTAAAGTAAGATTCGAAAGGACGGAACTGAAAATACTTTACACGGTCGACAATTCGATTTACCACGGTATGCACGCTGGTGGTATGCGTCTCTGCGATAGAATAGGCAAAAAAGAAAAGAAGGAAAGGGAAAACATAGGAGAAGGATGAACGGACGGGTAGAGGAACGACGATTAATTCGATTCTCACGTGCATCGTGGCTGGAGTGACTCAACGAAAGGGCTCGGATGTTCCGTAGGGAGACGAGTAGACAAATGGAACTTGATTGTCCTCTAAGTGTCGGGGGATGAAGTGACAGTTTTGAAGGGTAACATCGGCGTCATCGTCAAACATTGGTTCACCGCTTGACATTTTCCCCATGGGGTGTGTACCACGGGGTTACATGCACTATTAATCGCGGCCCATTATACGCTCTAATGGGCTGCCGGGATATTTTCAACGGGGTAGATTCGAGCTGTTTTAAGACAAGCGGTATCAACATTCATCGCGATCGAATGTTTTTCGGATCTTTTCAAAAATTCATCACCGAAACTACCATTACCAGGTACACTGTCATCAGGGTGATTTTGCGATTTTAGAATTTAGGAACTCTTAGGTTTAGAAAGATGTTAACCCCTTGCCGTGCCATTTATTTATGAGGTGCGTCAGTCAAGACTAACCATTCAGGACTATAACATTAAAACGAACAAAGAAAATGAAAATGTTCTAAGTATTTTATATTCAGGGATCCTTGACAACGCAAACTATAGTTGGATCTAAAATTTAAGTTGAAGAGTATTCAAAATTTGAGTAACATTAATCACATTTGAGTTGTGAGTGCGTCGCGAGTGAGACTCGTCAAAGCACGGGAAGGGGTTAAAGAAGTAGGAACTTTAAAATTTAAAAACATTTCGTTGTAAGAATTTAAAAACTTTCGTATCCAAAATAAAAGACCAATACGATCATACTGATATTATGATATCGTATTCCGAATTCAAGATCAAGTTTGCAAAAGATCGTCTAACTACTCCGAAAGAATTACAGCGGGTAGACAATGCTCGGAAGGTTGTCCACGTTGATTATGCGTTTCACGACGCAAAGGGGTTGATAGTCGTCGAATGCCGATGGGGAATGACGCGTAATGGGTTGCACCATCGGAATTTGTCGCCTCTCGTTGCCGCGTTCAACGCATTTCCCGCGTTTTTTTCCTCGTAGTGGCTAGGGGGAGAGTTTAGCCGCGCGTCACGGCAACTTTATTAAATTCTCGCCAGGATTTATCGGCTGTTTGCACCGATCTGTCGGACAAATACGCCTGCGATCGTGCTACAGGTACACCCGGAAAACCTGCCTGTCCTGTGGAACAATCGACCGACGCTGGTATGCGAATACAACTATCCCGTTCCTGATCCTCGCTGCTTTGCCGATGTCATCACGTTTTAACCTTTGTCCGGATAATTTACTCATGCAACCTGGACGACACGTCAGAATCAGATACAATGTATAAATATTTACACGAGATTCTGAGAGACAGTTTATTTCTAGAAATAAACTTCTATAAATTCTTGGTATCGTGGAAAAAATCATGAAAAGGTAACTAGGTTATATTCGTGATCAAGCTGTCTTAATCAAATGGGAAATGAATATAGAAGGTGTGTGATTTACTCGAGGGCGCTCAAATATCTCGAAAGATATAAATAAAATGTTTGACCTAAAAAAGTACCTAGGCTTGATATTAAGAAAGTAAATAGTTTGCGAGATACTTTAAATCGAAAGACGAGGAGCGGTTGCCAATATTTTCTGATAAAATGTCTAATTCTTAAATTAATCGTAAAATAAAGAAGAGGACGGTGAATAGAAAATTTGATAAAAGGATGACGGAGATTTTCATGGTCCGTTTTAAAGACTTTGCAAAGAACACGAGACACGGTGTGTATCGAATTTTTATAAAATTCAAGTTGAAGAGTATTCAAAATTTGAGTAACATTAATCACATTTGAGTTGTGAGTGCGTCGCGAGTGAGACTCGTCAAAGCACGGGAAGGGGTTAAAGAAGTAGGAACTTTAAAATTTAAAAACATTTCGTTGTAAGAATTTAAAAACTTTCGTATCCAAAATAAAAGACCAATACGATCATACTGATATTATGATATCGTATTCCGAATTCAAGATCAAGTTTGCAAAAGATCGTCTAACTACTCCGAAAGAATTACAGCGGGTAGACAATGCTCGGAAGGTTGTCCACGTTGATTATGCGTTTCACGACGCAAAGGGGTTGATAGTCGTCGAATGCCGATGGGGAATGACGCGTAATGGGTTGCACCATCGGAATTTGTCGCCTCTCGTTGCCGCGTTCAACGCATTTCCCGCGTTTTTTTCCTCGTAGTGGCTAGGGGGAGAGTTTAGCCGCGCGTCACGGCAACTTTATTAAATTCTCGCCAGGATTTATCGGCTGTTTGCACCGATCTGTCGGACAAATACGCCTGCGATCGTGCTACAGGTACACCCGGAAAACCTGCCTGTCCTGTGGAACAATCGACCGACGCTGGTATGCGAATACAACTATCCCGTTCCTGATCCTCGCTGCTTTGCCGATGTCATCACGTTTTAACCTTTGTCCGGATAATTTACTCATGCAACCTGGACGACACGTCAGAATCAGATACAATGTATAAATATTTACACGAGATTCTGAGAGACAGTTTATTTCTAGAAATAAACTTCTATAAATTCTTGGTATCGTGGAAAAAATCATGAAAAGGTAACTAGGTTATATTCGTGATCAAGCTGTCTTAATCAAATGGGAAATGAATATAGAAGGTGTGTGATTTACTCGAGGGCGCTCAAATATCTCGAAAGATATAAATAAAATGTTTGACCTAAAAAAGTACCTAGGCTTGATATTAAGAAAGTAAATAGTTTGCGAGATACTTTAAATCGAAAGACGAGGAGCGGTTGCCAATATTTTCTGATAAAATGTCTAATTCTTAAATTAATCGTAAAATAAAGAAGAGGACGGTGAATAGAAAATTTGATAAAAGGATGACGGAGATTTTCATGGTCCGTTTTAAAGACTTTGCAAAGAACACGAGACACGGTGTGTATCGAATTTTTATAATCTATTTCTGCCGTTTCACAGCCTTGAAAGGAACGCTTTCCGGAACGACGACGAAACATCGTTAGACGTGTTTGCGACGTTTAATTACTGGCTTCTTGTCCTTTAAACGATAATGAGGATACCCGTTTCGATGCTCTTTTTTCCTCTTCATCGTTGCGCGTCGTAGTACCAATTAATTTGTTTCAATCCGTTGAATCTTCTAAGAAACGGTTCTCTTTTAGACGTTAAAGATTGAATGTAATCAACATTACATTTTGAGCTGTTATGCAGCTAAAGGTGGAAGATTGTCCTTCGTCAACGTTCTAAGGTTTCTAAATCACTACGTTCCAAATTTCTTTGTTCCACAAATTCCTATACCCCGAAATTTCTGCATCCCTAAATACCTAGATTTTTAGATCCTTAGATCCCCGAATCGCAAAGTGATCAAATTTTTACTCTACCAAATTTTTCCAGAGAGAGACTTGTTCTCGACTGTGTGTACATGGAAAGAAGGATTCGTACTCACTCGGAAGGATCCACGGTGAGAAAATCCGTGTACAGCTTCAACAGTTCACCTCCGATCACGTAACCTAGCGCGGGTCCTATTATGGCCATCGTGTAAAAAATGCCTAGACAAAGAGAAACAGGTGCTTATTTAAAATTTCAGATTTCTTATTTTAATAATTTAAATAAATGATGGCAATGTGACTTACCTACATACACGGAGGACATCTTTTTCGAAACATTCTCGTCTATGTACGTGACACCGAGCGTATAAAAAGGAGCAGAACCCGCACCATGAAGAAGTTGAGCCATCAAAAAGATAATTAAGTACAATCCGCTGTAAGGCTCTTGATCCGCTTGGCCCATAGATCCGTTACAAGATATCTGAACAACGAGAACAAACGTAGAATGATTTAATAATCAAATTAATAATTATTTGAATAACCTACCGCACGAGACGACGTGTCGTTCACCCTCTGACACATGTTTTCCGATTGTTGACCACCTCTGTATGGTCCGGCAATATAATGGGGAGACGCGAACAGTAGGCTTCCTATGCCTAAGACTAGAACTCCTATACCTATGTACCTGAGTAACAAATAAATTTATGGTATTTAAGCTTTCTTAAAAAATTTGTAAGTAAAGATATTTAGGGACTTTGGGAATCGGAGATTTTATTTGACAATTGGAGGTTCTAAAATTTCAGGAATTTGGGGATTTGGAGAATTGCATTATCTAAAAGTTGGGTCATTTGATTTACATATCTAATCTATCGTGCAAACATGTTAATAATACGATGATTCATTGTTACAATCGACCCTTTCAACTTCCTATTCTCAGAAGATTAGCGTCAAGATAAACAAAGAGTAATATCGATCCTTCCAAGTGTCATCGCTTATCGATTAGGGATCGAATTGTGTCGAGTAACAGGAGCGAGGGTAGAAAGTGTCGAGGTAAAAGAACAAAATGGAGATTAACGTCGACACTGTCAGCCCGGCTGACGTTAAAATTAATATTTATGAGAACTGCCGGGTTCAACTGATATCAGTATTAATATTAATAGGCAGGACAATGGCTTGTACACGAACATACGTACGTATATGTCTGTATACCCACATATGTTTCATTATAATGTAATAAGCTCCTTGTTATTTCATGTTTTTAATGTAACCTTACAACAAACCATTTGCGAGTTTATATTTTAAGAACTTTTTACATCTATTCCTGCTCGAATATTATTAGGAACTATTACACATTTATATAAATTATTTTTGGTTATCGGTGGTGGGATATATTGGTACTATTTGTACGAAAGTTTTAAATAAGTTCTGCTCTCAAATTGCGGAATATCTGTCCCATTTATAACGCGTCAGTTATAATACAGTAATAACTTCTGAAAGTTATGCACAAGTTATATAAATATTTGCAACGAAATTCATTCACAGATAGCGAACAATTTTTTATTTCTTTTTTATTTTGCATAATATATTACGGCTATAGTTTAAAAGATTAGACGATATTACAGCTATACGAAGCTTATGAGTTCATAATCTCCAAGATCATCTGACGAAAACTGGGAAAGTATCTGTACGTATAATACCTTGGCTTTGATGCTTTCGACCGTCCACCTAGGTAACTGACTGGAACAAGAATTAGAAAACTTGCTATATCGTATCCACCCGCTATCAGGCCAGTTTGCGACGACCTCAGACCAAATCTCCTTTCTATCGTGGTGATAACGACGTTTACAAAACCGTTCACCACCATTCCTGAAAAAAATAATGCAATTTCTGCTGCGACACATTCTCAACTCTTTGTCGTAACATCGTGTCATGAAAATATTATTGCGAAAGGTTGTATAAAATATTGAAATATATGCATATATTATAAAATGTAATTAAGTTGAAGTACACGAAGATTCTGCAGAAATGTATCTTCTTATGAACGTAATGACACGATAGAGTAATATAGTGATTATGCAATGAATTTCTTAGAACCGATCAGCCGGTTAGACGAGATATTAATGAATATGTATGCGACATAATAAGTATGGAAGATAAATACCGAAGGTCTAATACGAATAGTGTAGCAGAACGTAAATGTTAAGAATGGATGTAGCATATTCGCAAAATTTCCAAACCCCTACATTTTTAAATCCACAGATCTCCAAATCCTTCAGTTCCCACATTTTTAGATCTCGAAATTTCATACACACAAAAAATCATCCTAAAGTCTGAAGTATGAGAAAAAAGCAACAGTGTTCGTATTGGTAGTACGGTGATTTAGGGTACACGCGATGGCGTCCCACTAGAGTCTCTCGAACAAAATTCATTTTTATCAAAGACAGATGAATGCTTTTGTCAGTTGATACGATGGATCCACCGTGTGTGTCGTCCGTTTGTAATTCAACGCCCTGTCCACGGTTTTGTTTGCAGCTTCGATTATACGAACGAGCCCGAAGTTGTTCGATCGAGGGGTTGAGGGCTCGATTAGCGCTGTATATTCGTGAGAAAGAAGCGTTTAATAGATTTACGTACGAGAGAACGATTTCTTGGAGGGTGAACGGACATCGGTCGCAGAGGGGAGACGTAATTCAATTAGTTTACCCTTTTTGATTCATTTACACGCGGCACGCGGATTTGCTTTGCCAAATACGTACGTACACATGTGCACACAGAGGATCAACCGGGAGAGGATAGCTTTCATCCTGTGTACCGACGTCGTTATTCCTGTCTGAGAACGAGGACACGGATCGAGGATATTATTAAAATATCTCGGGTATCGATCGAACTAGCTATTTCGAAACTGCTAACAAATCAATGGAGCGAACGTACGATTCCGAGTGTTCGTGGTTCTATGAGAGTAACCGAAAATAATTGCAGATAATAGGGGATTTGAACTAGATTCGGGAATAGACTTCGACCGATTGCTTCGTCGATCATAATGAAATATATTTATACCAAAATACTTTCGCAACTTATGTATAAATGAAGTTTGAAATTTGGTTATTCGAAAACTGTCGAGTCCGTATATTTCATCCCTCAAAATTATAAACGAATACGCCTGAATTGAACACAACTGATGTTGCACCAATGTGTACTATATTACGTATCAATATTAACACTAGATTTACGGACCGCGCCAAGTTGATTCATTAAAAATTTGATCACTATATATATAAAACTTTAATATTACTTTTTAAAAACATACGTTGGTCTTTAGTTAAGTAATAAAATATATGTAAACGTTCATTCCTCTTCTCCGCAAACCCCTTCATTTCGCATTATCGAACGCGATATACCTATTTTCACGGTTTTTTCTTGTACGAGTCAAATTGGCTCACTTCAGTAAAAATAGGTATATAATCAACATCCGTAAATCTAGTGTCAAAAACGCAATACTCGCGATCCTTGGTTTATCAGCAGAATAGCTACGAGGAGTAAAATTTGAGCTTAAAAGTACAGCAGGTTAAGCGTCGAGTATCGTCATATCCGCTTCCCGTCTCCCCGGAAAATGAACCACCTTCGTATCCCATTGTCCCGTTAATAGAAGTATTTTAATTAAAGCCAGCCCGCTGAGCGTCGGGCAATTTGTTTCTCCAGCTGCGCGAGCACCGGTATCGCAATGCTCGCGTACGTGCGTGCACTTAGGCTCGGCGAACTTATTCTCGACTTATACAGACGATTGCGGGCTCCCTATTGTCCGGCAATTTGTTCGATCCCGTTGGCCGCAGAGAAGGCACGGACCTCCACAGGACGATTTCTTTTGTCGCGTCCCCCGCCAAAGAAGGGGGACGAACAAACTTGTTTAAACTAAGTACACGCTGTTCGCCCTTTTCTTCGACCTCCTCCCTCCTCTTCGGCTTCACCTTCTCTGTAACCATCGCCCTAGCTCGTCGACGAGCTTCCTTTCCTACACGAACGTTCGTTCGTCTCCTTTCAGCCGACGTTCACCACCCTCGAGCGTGCGTCAACCTCCTGCCACCGGCCCGGAAAACTCGATTTCCGGTTATCGTCAGTCACCCTCCACTCGCCCTACCATCCCTTCGCTCCCCGTGAAAGCTTCGAAATTGCATTCGAATGCACGGCTATTAGTAACGCCAAACGGCGATATCGAGTCAATCAGCATACGCTTGCCGATAGAGAAAGACACGGACAGAGAAATACCGTTGGATTATGGCGAAAAATCAACGCGGATTTGTTCTCGCGATCACGGACACCGAACGCTGTTTCGCGGATGTGGCGGTAAAACGTTCCGAGTCCAAACGACGCTTTCGATACGTTCGTCAACCATGCATTTTTCGTTTATGATTATTGTACGATCTAATTTTTCTGTCCATCCCGTGACAATTTCATTTTTTATCGTCAACGCGTTGCGTTCGCATCGACTAACACCTTTCGGTACGTTCCGCAACTATGAATTTTTCTTTAACTAACGAACCGATTAAAATTCCGTTCTTCCCAGATAATAAAAAATTTCGCGGATCGTTGGAGATTCAAATTTGTCTGGTTTATTTGAAAAAAAAGCAATATTTCGAAACATTGGCGAGTATCGATATCTAAGCAAACTCGCGAAATCTCGTTTCACGTTCCATCACTCACGGTTTGAATTGGTCCGAGAATAAATGGTTCTCGTTTCGAACGAGTCACTGAATCAAATTTATATCGCGTACCTTGTATTGCACCTGTCCAACAGAGCCAGAATAACGCCCATTTCGCGGTTCGGAATCTTTGCAAGGAGATGGGCCTGAACCATAACCATCCACACTTCGGGTTATCCGTCGACCTGTCCGATTCCTTTGGCGCATCCGGCTTTATTTCCGGTTTCCTCGGCCCGTCTCCGAACTGTTCCGGAAAACTAGACAGGGTCTCGTGCATATCCGGCACCGCCGACTGTAAATCACATTATTCAAATGATACCTTCATGATCCAATTATCGAGATTAATCTTACGGTAATCAACGCTTATTCACGGTAATTACTTTAACTCGACGCTGGCACACCTATCTAAACTTCTACTACCACAACTTTAATGTTTTTCCTTCTATTATTGTACCGTTTCGTAATTCTGCCGAGCAATCGGACTTTTGAACTTGTTATAATTAAGGAAAGATCGGGAAGAATTTTACTAACTTTTTAATAATATTTTATAGCATATTATTTTTTATACGAAGGAACGCTGAGAATGGCAGTGTTTGATATTATATTATGCCAGCGTACTATCGAAATTAATTGTCGGCGAAAAAATCATTAATTTATACCTGAGTAATGTATGCTTACGATCGTTTGCAAATAGGTTATAACGCAGGTTAGAATTGCACATGCACTTTAGGCAATTAATTATTGGAAATTCCCTGATGGATGGCAAACAAACAACTCTAAACATAACGTTCCTAGTTTCCGGTTTAATATCTCGGTTTATCTTCGTATCTTCGATGATCACATTGAAACGATAAAATTCAATGATGAGCAATAGTTCCGACATTTGTAACATTTATCGAATAATTGTTACGCTCTACTGGTTAATGTATACCGTTCATAATTCTTCTCCTTCTTCTTTGAATATTTATTAGAACTTCGCAGACGAAGACTTAAAATACGATTCAAGAAACGTCTCAGTAATTTTTTAAAAGACACGAATTTCTGTTCTTTTGTACGACACAGCCAACCTAGATTTGTAAATAATTCTTCGATAAAGAATTAAATTGCGAGTTAGACGTAACTGAAGGTTTCCTCGATACCATAAATAAGATAAGAAATATTATTTACGGAAAATCCCTGAATCTCTCATTCCACGCTTATAACTAATTCTCCGGTTGGATTATCGGACGTGTTTCGGACAAAACTTCTCTGGTATCGGTACCACGTTTCCCTTCCGAACTAAACGGAGAATCGAAATAACGTCCAGAGCACTTACACCGAATGCAAATTTATCCCGCATGATGCTCGCTCGGTTTTTCTCTTCGGTATCGATCAAGAACTTGAAGCTTCTCACGCATCGGCTATCGATCGCGACATGCTGCTTCCGCTTCCTCTTCGACTGCCAATCAGTCCTTCCTGTTCTCGCGAAGAAACGACAAAATTTTCTAAATGGTCCCAAAAGAAGGCTTCTTCGTCGCGACGGTCAAAAGTCCATCGAGCGCGTCTCGTTCAACGAGCTTGTTTCCGTTGTTTCTCATCGCGAGAGAAAGCGATCGCGTGTTCTATCGAAAACGGAACTTCCGTTCGTTGGTCACGCTTCTTTGCCCGTGAAGCTGAGACTAATCGCGAGCAAACTCTTCGTCATTGTTACTCTATAATTCGAATTCTAACCTTTTGTGAAAGTCCCGTTATTTCGATGCGTACTGGTACCATTATCTGCGTTCGCGTAGATTGATTTTACTCAATTTTCTATCGAAACTTTTTATATATTATTTCACCGCGTATCGTTGCATGTCGATTTTAATTAATTCTATTTCGTTATTTTTAATTATCTTTTATTATTACTTTGTCCATTCTGTTATCGCGTATCCTATCATAAATTTCGTTATATGATTTTAATTGATCTTGCACCGGTATTTCGAACATCCTACAATATCGATTTTAATTCGTTCTCTACCGTTCAATTATTTCGACTATTCTACCATTATTACGAACTAGCGGTACACATTGATCCCTGATACGAACAAAATTGTAACTTTAGCGCAAACAATCTAATTACAATATTGCTCGGATCACGTCCCAATGTAATTGTGCACCATTATTTCATTTGCTACCATTATCTATACAACAGTTGTCGATCACTTGCTACATCGAATTTCCCGGAAAAACCCTATTCATCTTTATAGCATCTTTTTATTTATCTCATAAAATATGACGATCAACTTCGTATCATTAAGTGCCTTATAAAAAAACTTTTTCATCGATTTCTGCTTCGTTGCAGCATCTTTTCAACGTCAATAGTTCGATTAAGCTCGTTTTATCATTGAAACGATACTGGATTTACGATCACAATTTCAAACAAGTCAGATACATCTCCGACCATTTACCTTTTTAAAAAACTACTGTTTTATTTGGAAACGCTAAATAAAGTTTTATTATTAGATTTGCAGTGATAAGTTGGTCGGTTCTCTCGAGCAAGAAAAGCTTGCTTTATCGATGGTCCGTCATTTGTCAAAGTTACTGGTAGCAAGCTCCATCCGTTTCCGATACAGCGCGTCTTACTCGCGTGCCACGCTTTTTACTCGGACAAAGCGAGCCTGAAAAACACCAAACGAAAACTGCTGCTGGGGAAACTTTTTTCTCTCCTATCGAGTGGCATCGCTTGTAAATCCTTCAGGAGCAGGATATTTTCCGGGCGAGCAACCACCTACTGTTTCACCTTGCCTCGGATGAAATATTCACGAGGAAGGATTTATAATTTCACGGAAATTTATAATTCGGCTCGAATTTTTCTTCGGAATAATCCGCGCGACCGATCTCAATTTATACTGTCGCTTTTCACGCTAATTCGAACTGCTCGGTACGACTTTCTATCGGAAGTAGAACGATTTGGAGACTGTCGTTTTCTAACGCGACACCTCGCATCTTTTCACGGTTATTCGGTGTGCATCGAAACTCGACTCTTTTATCATTTCTTCCATTATTTCGATGCGAGCTGTTCTTTCTATTAATTTTTCCCTATCGATTATTTCAGAATAAATGGTACCAGTAGGCATACTGAGTTTAATTAATCTATTTCCACTATTCCACTATTTCAATTCGAACTTCGATACAGATTTTAATTAACTTTTTATAGCGTTGACACTATTAGTCACGAACTACCATTACGAATTTAAATGAACGATTTACCACTATTTTATCATTGCTTAATATCCACATCGATTTGTATTAATTTGCAATCATTATTACAGCACGAACTGATACCACTACAAACATAGTAATTTCAATGAACTTTCCACCACTAATTCGACACGATCTGGTACAATTACTTATACATGTATTTTAAAGGACTTTCCACCATTAATACACATTAAATTTTATTACTCTCCTATCGATTATCGAGACTAGAATGACCATTCATTCTTACGACGAATTCGGTACAGAAACATTGATTATACGAATTTTTCAACCACTGCTTAACTAACCGTGTAACTTGAATGTTAATTTTAAGTATCAAAAACTTATCTCGCATTTCTTTCAAAGATAAATACAAGCGAAGGAAGTTCCCTCTGTAAATTGATAGTCGGTGTAAAAGTTGAAAAATCAGTACTGTACAGATTTCGAGAAGAATGGTCACTCCAATCAAGACTTATACCGAAAATTCACGAGATTCAGCAAGTCGAAGTGGCACGAGACACCGCGCGTCCATCGATCAGAGGATCGAGCAGCACTTTCGCGTCGCTATGTCAGGAGCGATCGAAACACGATTCGATGGAAAAACGATTTAGATCGTAACCGAGCACGATCCGGATGGTAACTGGTCCGAAGCGACTAAGGCCGCGTGTCACACGCGACTGAGGATCGCGAGCTCGTGCTCTCAGAGTTTTCCTCGCGAGTTAAAACGCCGTATATGCTACTACTACCGCTACTCTGCTACGACAGACACCTTCCATCTTTCTCTTTCCCTCTCGTCTCCCACCTTTCCTCTCTTTCTCTCTCTTTCTCTCTGCCTCCTCTGTTTCTCCCACCTTTTCATCCCCCTACTGCCTCTCGCCGCGTCTCTCTCCTCCTCTCTTCGGTCTCTGTTCGCCTCTCGCACACCCCCAGACTACCCTTCTACCCCACCTAACACCGACACACTGTTAAACACCCCTACTAGCTGTTGCTTCGGTCAAGAAGCGAAAAAACCGCTCGGTCCTGCCATCTGATAACACTCATTAATTCGCGTTAATTGCCTAGATAAGAACAACTCGCTGTTATCCTACGTTGTTTCGCATTACTTGCTTTAATCGCGTGACTCCAGTTAGGGCAAACCGATACATTTAGCAGACTTTCATTTCTACGACCTCTGCTCGAATTAATTATTCGCCAAAAAATATTTCTACTCTCTCTACATAAAGTGTGTCTAGCTTCGGTCTAAATTTTATTCGTTACTATTAAAAGGAAAAATATATCTTCTAGATAACACGTAAGTGTAAGAGCATAAGTAACAAGAGAGTCATTTACAACGTTAAAATCGTTTTACAATAATTGCACAACAGGCAGCGTGGCAGAGGATTTAAAACCCGAGTAAAATCGAACGATACGGATATCGTTGTTGCGTAAATTGCTTTTCTCGACTTTTGACCGCAGTAAAACGAACAACCGCGAGCCGAGCTAAATAGATATACCTATCGTGCAACTCCCCGATCGAATGAAACCGATACCGGAGTTCCAGCTGTGTAGTACACTATTTTCTAGTTTGCTTGTGTAACGAGTTTCTTAATGCTCCGTATCGAGAAACGCATTTGTCTTCCGGCGTTCCATTAACGAACCTCCTCGTTGCTCTCTGTTCGATTTCAGCCAGAGTTCGATGCTTGAACGAAAGGTGAGCGATAAGGGTCACGGAATGACACTGGTTACACGATGTCCCGAGTAAAACGTTAAAAAAGCGGAGAGAATATTTTAGAGGGATTTCCAGACGCCCGCGAAACTTTCTCATATTTCAAGACGAGGTAGGTCAGGCCCGGTATCAACCTTCGAGGACGTGTTTCGAATTTATGACGGTAATAACCCAAGTATGCGGACTCGAAAAGTTCCGAATAAATCATTCCGATAATATTGCTCATTCCGAGGATTATGCGACTTCCAGATTCCTTTAATTGTCGCCGAAAGGAAATTTCTTTTAACGCGTTTACTTTTAAATTAAAAATCAAGTAGTAACGCTGTCCGCAGCTCGTAATCGCGTTAACTAATTCTGTAAGTAGCGACAAG